TGCTGTTTGTATTGATGACTCTCTGAGCAGGTGCCGCTGCTGGCAGCAGCGTGGAGGAAGCACGTCTCCAGCTTTTGTTATCTTGCTTGATCTCTTTTATTAGATAACTTCAGCAGCGTACTTTTGAATCGAGCAGTTTAATAAATGAAACTCGAGAAGCACAGAAGCAAACACTGAAACCTGTTAGTCAGGGCCAAATCCTGCAGGCATCACTGTCCTGGGATAGCAAGATCGGTCCGTGTCTCTGGGTGGTTGTGTTCAAGCGTAAAGCTACCCATGCATATAAGCTGAATTTTAAGTCAGGGTTGGTCTCTGAATTGAGGTTTGCATGTAAGTGGTCTGATTTTTCCGATGTGTGAGGACATGGAGACCTCAGACGGCTCCCTCAGTGCTCGTGGTGGCCAGCACGGCTGAGGATCAGGGCCTCTGCAGCGAAGGAGATAACGTGAGATTTCTGAGTTTGGGGACTTTGGCCAGCAAATAACAAATATATTGGCACAGCATGGGAAAGACGTAAAAATGTGTATGTCAGAATGGGGCAGGCTTTTAAGTGTTTTTCATTTAAAATTAAAAGGTCAGATTGAATGGGGTTGTCATCTGGGGACCTGTATGTGCACCTGCCAGTCATACAGAGGGGAACCCGTGTCAGTTTGTGCTGATGGCTGACTCTCTCTGGGAGCTTGTCTGCGCTTAAAAATTGATGTCTGGAACGGTTAAAATGACAATTTTCCTTGTGGCGGTCAGGCTGAGCCATCTGCTCCACCAAGGAATGGGAACGAAGGATCTGAGTGCAAGGCTGCTTTACCACAGTTTAACTGGTGTTCACACTTCGGCTTCTACAAGTATAGCCATACTGATTAAAAAAAAAAATAACCCTCCCCCCCCAAACTAAGCTCTGAATATTGGTAAGACTTTCAAGTATAAAGGAGATTTAAAAGTGAATGCAAGTTTTGAGCAGTCAGAAAACCAGATGCCGTTCAGCCAGGCTGTTATGTGAGAAGTGCAATTAGCACTTGCTGAAATTATTTTCACAGGTAAGGTTTTCTTTTAAAGGGGTTGGGGAGTCTGGTTACTTCAATTTCTAAGTGACCACTGTAAGGTTATGCTAGGGACACCTGTTTTTCTGAAAGTGCGACTGCACTTCTCTGAAACTTGGACTTATTGCAGAGGTTTTAAACTGTTCATTTCTGAAAAATCTGAACAATATAAGAAAACTCAAACCATACCAGAAGATTGATACTTAAATTCAGACATTGTAAACTACGGCTTTTAGATTTAAGTCTGCAAACAGGAAACCTTGCTTTCCATACTCGTGTGTTAAATTTAGTTTTCTTTTTTTTTCTTGAGAAATGTTGATTCTTACTGTCAATAATACAGCATCAATATTATCAGACAGTGAGTCAACGGACTGTTTCTGATCATCATGTCTTTAAGGATTTTAGAGTTCATAGATCTCAGCCTCTCACCTTATTTTCCGTTCAGCTTGGGATGGCTTTTTTAACTTCTGATCACTTTCTCAGCTTTTTATGAGTTTTACCTTAAATTTAACTAGTTGGAAGAAACAAATGAAGGAAACAATCTTTTGTGAAAGATGGGCTCTCTTGGTAAATTCGTGTTCCAGTAGTTAGACTCTACTTAGTGCTTTAACTGTGATAGCCGATTCCTGCTGTTTGGGCATTTGGTTTAAAGTACCTTTAAATGATAAATTGCCTATTGAAATGGTGCATTAAAATAAGTGGTCTGTATTGTGCTAAGCATAAAAATGAAGATGCAGATGTGTACATGTAGTGGCATGAAGTCTTGGCCACTGTAGATGGTGATCTGGAGGCACAAGAGTCGTACTGAGTTATGCCAGATGGGAGCCTGACAGCGTAAAGCTGTGTTACTAAAGAGACTTTCCTGCTGTTATCTCTCGCAGGACTGTGATAGAAATCTGGGATTTCTTGTTGCAAGATGAAAATCAGAATTAGCTGTGTACAGACCACTGAACATCTGTTGCTGTGGCTCTGAACTAGGAGGACCTCAGTTTTGTAGAGCTAAAAACCTGCCTGTTGTTACTTATTTCTGTTGTAAAAGCACCTGGATAGTCCTTGTAAAGGTTGTTGGAGGATGTATGAAACCCAGAGGTGGCTCCTTAGGAACAGTCGTTGCATGTATTTCTCTGGGGACTTCGGTGGGGGAAAGACTTGTGCTGGAATCGATGGCAACGATTTGGGTACGTCTGTACTGTGCACTTGTTTGTCTTTCCCTACCTGAACCAAAGCGGGAATGAGCATGACTGCGAGGGGGAGACCCTTTTTTGGGACTTGTTGTCTCTCAAGATCTGTATCTCTTGCCTGCTTCCCCAGCAGAGCTGGCCTGGTTAAGGCATCACTTTGCTAATCCTCTGTGTAGTCCTCTCTGGTGCGAGGGTCTTGGGGGTGCTCCTTGCTGAGGGATGTGTACAGGCAACCGAGAGGAGGGACTTTGCAGAGAGGAGCTCTGCTGATCTTGGGGTTTGGGGGCCTTGAGTCTCAAGAAATGCTCCCCAATGAGAAATGCTTGTTGAGATCACGTCTTGAAGATGTCTGATTTGGTGGTGGCATCATGGCTTGATGGCTTGTGGTGCAGCAGATGTGCAGCTCTTCTGGCACCTTGGGTCTGTCCTCTACATTTGTATTCTGGGTATTTCTGTGCTCAGAGACCCAGACTGATTTTTGTAGCCTTCTGCTGAAGAAATGGGGTCACACACGGAGCAGTTTGACAGACCGGCTCAGGTGGATATTGCTGTGACCAGTCAGGCTGTCCCTGTCCTGCCTGGCTGTCAATTGTGGCCAGGAGGGAGTGCGTGCCTGGGTGTCATTGGGTTGCTGCCCCTCTGGGACCATGCTGGGCCCCACTTACTGCTGGGGAGGGTGGTTTCACAGCAGGCTTCAGCTGGGTGGCTTGGGGAAGGCGCATGGGGTCCTGCTCATCTCGCTGCAGGAACCCCAGTCACAAGGTGACGGGGACAGCTGGCGTGGAAAGTAAAGCCAGGCAGATGCGGTTCAACTAGCCAAGTCTGCTGAGTCCTATAACTGATCTTGTAAACATTTCTTGAGTTAAACCTGGTGAAAGACAAGTCCGAGCCAAGATCTTTTAAACACAAGTTGGGTCCCAAGAAATATTGTTTTACCTGGAGCTCCCAGAGGTGCTGTTGTGGGTTGAATTGAAACGGTGTTGGAACCAGAGGGGAATGTTGTTGTCTTCTGCCTTTGCAGATAAGACCGAAGGCATCTTGCCAGGAGCCTGTGGGAAGGACCTGAATTGTATATAACTCTACTTTTCATTTTAAAATGAAAAGTAAACATGCACAACCATAATATTTGCTTGTACTTGTCTCCTCCTTGATAGATGGAGAGAAATTGCTCTTTGGCTGAGTTCACCAGCAATAAAACCCTGCAGTTTACTCATCTTCATCCCAAGCCTCCAGTGAGCGGGAGGGGCCATTGTGATCTCCAGTTGAATTTGTCCTCATCACACCCGAGGGGGAGCGCTGAGGGTCCTGGGGACTTTTATACCTGCCCAGGCCTATGGGGAATCAGGGCTGGGTGCCAAGGCGGGGGCTGTGGGACTGAGCTGGGAAGGTGCCTCCTGGATCAGGGTGGACCTCATCATGCTCTTGTGGTGTTGGCGCAATGGAGATCTACCACCGTTTGGGAGAGGCGAGAGCCCTGTCTCTCTCCTGGCTGCTGTAGCTTCAGGCATGGCATGGGGGACAAGGGGTGCTGGCAGGGGCAGGAAGCAGTCCCACTGGGTGACAGGGAGGAGGGACCTGGACTGTGAGCCACCAGTACTCTTGCTGCATGTTGGTTGTAGGCTTGTGGGCTCACATGCACCCTCATGAGCAGCACAGGTACAACAAACGCAAGCCTGAACTGTGCATTTCCATCATTACAGCAGCAAATAGCAGTAACTTTCTCTGCTGAGCGGTGATGACAAGGCAAGCCTGCACTTGTCACGAGCAGAGATAGGGCCGTCAGGGCGACCAGGATGTGGCCGGGATGTGATGCTGGCCGTGGGCTGGCAGGGGCAGGAAGGAGTGTGTGATTCAGATGCCGCCTATCTCCATGGGATGCACCCGGCAGTTTGTCCTGGCAATGCCACGCGCAAGACGACGGTTGTGTGGCCTGGCTGTCCCCTCTGCTCTACCTTCATCTTCTGCAGAGGGGAAAAATGGCACCGAGTCGGTCACTTCAAGAAAGGGTTGTGTCTGCTTTGCAGCTACAGGAAAGAGTGAGGCAGTCTCCAATGGGAACTGGGCAGAGCTCTTCAGAGAAAAGGCTGTGCTGAGCTGGAGGATGGGGTGAACTGGGTGGTGGTGTAGCTCTGCTTGTGGTACTGGTAAACCCCATGAGCTTCAAACAGAATTAAATGATGCCTCCTGAGGTCATAGAGACGAGCAATGAATTCACCCTGTTCTCTCATTTTAAAGAGTGAGGCAGTCTCCAATGGGAACTGGGCAGAGCTCTTCAGAGAAAAGGCTGTGCTGAGCTGGAGGATGGGGTGAACTGGGTGGTGGTGTAGCTCTGCTTGTGGTACTGGTAAACCCCATGAGCTTCAAACAGAATTAAATGATGCCTCCTGAGGTCATAGAGACGAGCAATGAATTCACCCTGTTCTCTCATTTTATGCCTCATTTTACATCTCCTTTTACACCTTCCCCCCCCCCCCCCCCCGGGGCATTAAGAGCATAAAGGAGCTGTGGCTTGAGGAGGGGCAATGTTGGCCAAAAGCTGAGTTTGTAACCGGCGTGGGCGGGCGGTCAGCCGGTGCTGTTTGTTGGCCCAGTTTGAGGTGGTGATGCTTGCTTTTGGGGGCTGCCGAAAGGAGTCCAGGAGTATGGAGGCTTCTGCCTAGGAAAGCTGGGGAGGAAAATGCTGCATTTCGCAGAAGTTGTGTGGGTTAAACTGCAAGTTTTGGAGATGAGCTGTTGGGAGGCCAATCCGGCATGCATCACACGGGTATCTCTCTCTTCGCAGGGCTGGGAAAGAAACCCAAAGTCGTGACTCCAGCAGAGCCCTGCGTGTCTCCAAAAGCCCCACTCTGAGTTCATCCAACCAGCAAGGCTGTGCAGCGTGAGAATCGGTACGTAAACACGTTTCACAGGCGCGAGGGGCAACTTCTCAGAAGGATTTGTGGCTTTTCTGACAGTAGCACCTTGTTCATGGCTCTCTGCAAGTTCTCTCCTAATGGAGTGTGGAGCCGGGGTGGGATCACTGGAAAATACAAGACAAACTGGTGGTTCCCTGGTGGTGCTTGCACCCAGAGGCTTTGGTGGGGAAGGGCTCCGTGGCAGAGAGAAGCTGTGGGTGTTCAGAAGTCAGCTTGGACTATGGAGCTGAGGCTTTAGATGCTCTCTGTTGAGCGGTGTGTTGTGTGACAGCACACACGGATAGGTGATGTGGGGGGTAATGACAAATGCACGCATGAGAAATCCACATATATATATATACACACACACACATGCTGTACAAATCTAGGCACATGGAAACAAAGATGCGCAGTGCATATATAGTATATACTATACGGTGGCATATGAGAGCTTGGGGGTGTATATACCAAATGTCTGTATATACTATATATGGCAATGAAAGAATGCATATGCATTCATGTTCTCTTTTTTCTTTTTCTGTCTGTTCTGTCTTTCTGTGGAGCTGTTGCAAAACTACCAGATTCAACCTCCTGGGGAGCCTTTCTGGCCAAGGTTTCACAAGCCAGCACCTGCTTTGCCTGCCTGACTTCTTTCTATATTTATTCCTCTGCACCCAGTTTTTGCCTTTGCCTGCAAAATGGAACTGTCACAAACATTTGTGCTAGCTTTTGGCTGCACAGGACTTCAGCTTGGAAGTCCCAAGTCTGCTTTTGTGCATGCTGGGGGAGGAGGCATACGTGTGCGTAGCTGTGCATGTGTGCATATAAGCATCCCTGGTCCTTGCTGTCTGCATTATGTGGTCTGTGTTCCTGTGACACTGCAGCAGTCCCTGTGTTCTGTATGCCATGCAAATTGCGCTCTCTGCCCCTTCAAGACATTTTTATGAATCAAATCTTCTCAGTTGTCCTGCTTATATAATGTCATTTAAATGAAATTAGCAACGCCTGACCCAGTGGCTGACTGATAATGATCTGTACTGCTGTGCAGGAGGCTTGGGTTGGATGTCATTCCCAGACCCCCGAGTTTTTACTTTCCAGGGTTAGGACTGTGGCAAGAAGAGGGACTTGTGGTGCCATGTAGCAGGGAGCTCCTGGTTAGGCTGTGGTTGGACGTGTCCGTCCTTCTGGTTTCTCTCCTCTGTGTCATTTGGGGTGGAAGGTGCTCTAAAGCAGAGACACTGAATGCCAGCTGATGCTTAGGTACCACTGTTTAAAGTGAGCATGGTAGCAAAGGAGAGGGTATAATGCTATTTCAGCTGGATAACTGAGGGGAGATCCTAATGCTGTCCTGGGGAATGACAATCTGGGGGAGTAGTAGCATGGTGGGTCTCCAATCAGCAAATGCTGCTCGGATGAGACGCGTGCTCGTTCCTGGTACGATGGGTATGACTTGTGCTTATTGAAAAGCAGTGCTGGGCTGCCTGCCAGGAGCCGGGAACCGGCTTGTCCTTGTGTGCTCAGGCCCCTGAGCTCCCAGCCCCTCTAACAGCTATATTCCTTTCTGGCACGGGAGTCCCTCTAAGGTCACAAAGCCATTAGTCCCAGGTTTCAACCCCAGGAGCCATAAAACGTACCCCGCCTGACCCCTGTGCAAAGGCAGAGGCAGCACCAGCAGCCCGCGTTCCCCTGGGTTTTGTTTCCCTGTCCCCACTGTGTGTGCCACTGCAGCCTGCATTCCTCTCCGGTTCAGTAAGCCCTTTGCCTCTCAAGCTGACACAGCTAGTATTTCCTCCGCTGGCAGGGCAGGCGAGGTAGTGGCATTTAACTGTTAAGGAGAACCTCGGTCTGTTCGTGCTGTGGGAGCTCAGGGCAGTAAGGGCTGGTGCATGCCTGGGATGGGGTTTTCTGCTATTCCGGGTGCTGCTCCTCCATGCTTTTTTTTCCCTTCCTTGACTTATATTATTCCCTACTTCATCCTGCTGTTTGTCCTTGCACAAAGCAATGCCTTGGGAATTGTTTTCTGCAAGGAGCTAGAAAACTGAGTCAGAGTTTGTAAAACCCGCACCTACCTGACCCTTCTTAGCCTGGTTTTGGAGCATCTTCTAGCACCATGACTACAGTGCTCAGAGTATCTCTATTTCTGACTGTGGAAAATGTTCCTGGTGACCTGGCTGCTGGCTGGGGCGCGTGGCTCTGGGGGAGGTTTTAGTGGGTTTTTAGAAAAATAATTGATCAGCTGCCCACCAAGAGCTAGTCCCAGCCTGCATTGCATTGACGTTGCCCTCATGTACCACTTAGTGGCCCTTGTACTGTTGGCTCTTTAAAGCTGCCTTTATAACTACCAGTGTAATGGCCATGTGCTGGTGCTGCCTTGCAAGGTTTATTTTTTGCAGTGGTAGTGATGGATCACTAGGTTAAATGTGGTTCTTATTCAAAAAGGCAGAAAGCTTTGTTTTCTTCTAAAGCAAAGGTTTACGTGGTTTTTTTTTTTTTTTTGTCACCTGTGATATCAGGGGCTAAACTTGCGTTGCCACGGGCCCCTGACCTCTGCCTAGTTAGTGGAGGTAATTGTACAGCCTCTGTCGCTGCAGGATTTCGGCTCCTCCCGAAGCCTGCGCTTCAGTACCAGTGAAAGCCAGATGTACTATAATGTTGCTTTTTTACGGTTTGTTTTGGCCATACATGGGCAGAGTCAGCTCTGGAATTCCTTCCCTATAAATTCAATAGCATCTTGTGGGTGGTGCTGGGGAATCACTCTGGTCTGGTTGGATCGCCTCTGCGGCCTGTTCCCCTTGAAAACGCCCCGATTTGCACATTCCTGAGAGGCTGCCTGCTCCTGGAGCCGATGGCTGCAGCTACCAGGAAGCTGTTGTCCTGTGCTGGCAGGCGTAGTTACCTCCCTGCTGCCCGCGGGTCGGCTGTTGCAGCCGAAGAGCGATGCCCGTGGGAGCAGTGGCATGGGTATATTGCTCCCGTGTGCAGGCAGACTCTGCAGGGAGAGTTGTGCCCTCTAAGTATAACTGTTCTGCCTCCTAAATTTGCTGTATGGGCTTCAGCACTGACCCTCAAGCCCCTCTCCCAGGGGTGGGGAGGCTGGGCGTTCCCCTGTTCCCTCCTGCTATGGGATGTTGCGTTGTGTGTCCCAGCAGGGATCGAGGGGTGCTGCCATCCTGGGGCTCCTTGTCCCTGCAGGGAGATCTCGCCTTGTCCAAGCAGCGTGTTCCTTTCTTCAGAGCTGTGTTTTTTTCCCTTTTGTAAAGCAAAATCAAATACATGGTTTTTGCGAAGCACCAGCTAGATGAGCTGGCCAGGGAATCTTTCCCTGCCCCAGGTGAGCAGCCAGCGTGGGACCCGGCAGCAGGACCTCTCTGGTGGGACTGATCGTTGAGCCTTGCCTTTTTCTGGTGCTGAGCTGGTGTCACTATAAACACAGCCTCAGTTTGCCTATTTGCCTTCAAAGAACACTCCAAAAAATAGTTTTGGGAGGTTTTCTGCTGATGAGTTGAGGGATGAGAGGGAGGTTTGCTGTAGGGGGCGAGGGGCGATGGCTCCTGGAGCTGCTCCTGTTGCATGTCCCCATGCATCCCTGGGAGGGGACAGGGATGCAGTGTCACTCACCGAGCCAGGAGCCACCAAAGCGCAGGTCAAGACAGTGACACGTGGCCCCATGTCCTGGCTCTGCGTGGGTCGGCGACAGCGATGTGTTCGGCTCAGGCTCCAGAGGGGCAAGTCATCCCTGTGCCAAAGCCAGGGAGAGAAGGGCGATTTTTTTTTTTTTTTTGACATCCTTTGGAGTTTTGATCTCCATATTTGGAAATGTTTACCCATTGCTCTGATCTATTGCAAGGGAGGGGAGGTGACTCAGGGTCTGGTGGAAGCAGGATTTGAATTCCTGTAGTAAGGTTCCCCCCCCCCCGTAAAGTCCCCCCCCCCCCCCCCTTTCTTGTTTTGGAAGCTTGTTGTGGTCAGTTTTCAGTTCTCTCTTGCTCCTGGACCTTGTTCCAAATTTGATCTGCTCGAGAGGGAAGTGTGTTAGCGAAGGAGCTTGCCTGGATGCTGGTAAGTGCATCATTGCTGCTTTAGCAAGCAACTTGGGATTATTTTTTTTTTTTTTGTTTAGTCAGATGGATTGCATCAAAGCGTGTGCGTTGCTGGTGGAGGCAGGCATGGGATCGCCAGTCAACAGCAAGGGACCCAATGAAACCTTCTGTAGCAGGGAAAGTTGGTTTAGTGGATTGGTCTCAAAGGCAAAATGTTTCTTCAGGCCTAGGTATAAAGATAATTTAAGCCAGCTCCCATTCAGTCACGCTCTTCCTTTTAGTTTCACTGGTTAATGCAGCAAGGCAGCAGAGCACTGTAGAGTTAAATGAGTATATATGCATGTGGTCAGCAAGTAAAATATAGCTTAAGTATGATTTCTGTCTCCTAAGCAAGGGTGTGTGTTAAAGAGGCTGCGTAACGTATAGATATATTTCTCTCAAATGTTAATATTTAACTCTGTTTTGTTAGGGACCTGAAGAAGTTTAGCTGCTGTAACTGGATGAAGGTTCAGTGTCTGGTTTTTCCTGTTATTCCTTATTTTTCCTTAGTGTGAAGTTTTTAATCTGTCTGGCATTGCAGCTGGCTGCTTCTCTTTTCTTTTTTTTTTTCTTTTTTTTCCTTTTCCCTCCTCCCCCTCTTCCTTTCTCTTTCCTGAAAGGAAACTGCAGTTCATCCAGACAGTCAGGGGCGTGGGGGGAACCTGGAAGATGCTCTGCTTCCTGTTTTATTCATGGCAACTAAAACCATGCTGGGGAATCTGGAGCGGAGATCCACCGTCCTGCATTCCTCTTGTCATTTGGAGCATGTAACACATATAGAGTGCTTTTAACGCTGCTCCGGGGGTTGCGTAGCAGCCAGTCCCGTGCCTCGGACAGAAAGCTCTGCACTTCGTCCTTTTACTTGGGAAGGGGCGTTGGTGAAACACGGTTTATCGTTCCTACTGCTGGTTGCTGATGCCTGTATCTTCTTGGCTAACTGGTATTTTTAGGCTGATTCAAACCTGTGTTATCATACTCTCCCTGTTTTAAATTGAAGACCTTTGTTAGACAGTTAAATCTCTTGGTTTTCTTTTGCCCTTTTAAATAGGGAGTAATACTCAGTGGAGGTTTGGTTTTCCAGAGATGTAGATTTGCAGCAGGTCCTCAAGGTGCGAAACTGGCTTGATTGTTCTGGGCAGGGAAAGATACTTGGCTTAGTTTGCAGGAGGATGGGAGGCGAGCTGAAAAGCACTCAGCCACAAAAGGTGATGAAGGGACTGGTGGAGCGTATTCCTGCAGATGGGATGTGTTGGGAGTTTGCAGACTTTCGCTGCATTTTAATCCTTGTTGTTGCAACAAGCTACTTGAATTACTGTAGCTTTTGGGGTCAGGGCCCCGCTGGGCTGGGCTTGGTACCAGTGCAAAGAAAAGAACTGATGTCCTAAAGAGTGTACGGCCTGAACAGACAGTGTAGGTGATGGGTTGGAAAACAGGGCACCGGGGAGGCGTATGGAGCTGTTGCAGCATGTGAAGCCTCAGCCCATCAACTCGCCAAGGAGCCACCCATCCTCTGTCATGCGTGGTGGTGCAAAGC